AAAGCATTGCTTCCTCTCAAATTGTCTGCTAATGCAATGCTAAGTAGCTTCAAAATATAGACGAAATCGGACGTTCTTTCCGCTGATTGATTGGGCCTCGCGCAGGTCGTTCGACAATCGTCAACAAGCAGGACAACGCGCTTGAACAGCAGCAAAATAGAGAAATGGTTCACCCAATGCATGAAACAGTGCTTGGACCACCGGCCTCACTAGCTGGCGAGGCCGCAGCGCCAGACCAACTGGACAGTAAAACAACATCGACTCCAAAACATGCAACAAACACACCAATAACGCCACTTGGTCTCCAACAAGCTGACAATTCCTTCCCAAACAAACAAAACACACAATTCTCGACGGACGTAGTCCCACATCAAACCCTGCCAAGACATACGTTACCTGAGACGACACTGGAGACCGAAAGCAAGCCGGAAGCAAAGGCCCCTTTAACACCAAAGGAGCGCGAGTCAGAGGCGAAGGCAGCAGAAGGCGGCGATGCGAAGAGCGTGTCTGGGGTCGATGCGAAGGCTGGACCTGTTGCGTCGTCGACGGCGCGTGCTGGGCCTGCGTTGCTTGCGAAGAAGTCGATGGGCGTGCTGCCTAAGAAGGCAGCGGAACCTGGCGCGAAGGCGGCGGCTGAAGCGGGTTTGAAGGCAGGGGAGGGCGAGTCAGAGGCGAAGGCAGCAGAAGGCGGCGATGCGAAGAGCGTGTCTGGGGTCGATGCGAAGGCTGGACCTGTTGCGTCGTCGAAGGCGGGTGCTGGGCCTGCGTTGCTTGCGAAGAAGTCGATGGGCGTGTTGCCTAAGAAGGCAGCGGAAGCTGGCGCGAAGGCGGCGGCTGAAGCGGGTTTGAAGGCAGGGGAGGGCGAGTCAGAGGCGAAGGCAGCAGAAGGCGCCGATGCGAAGGCTGGACCTGTTGCGTTGTCGAAGGCGGGTGCTGGGCCTTTGTTGCTTGCGAAGAAGTCGATGGGCGTGTTGCCTAAGAAGGCAGCGGAAGGTGGCGCGAAGGCGGCGGCTGAAGCGGGTTTGAAGGCAGGGGAGGGCGAGTCAGAGGCGAAGGCAGCAGAAGGCGGCGATGCGAAGAGCGTGTCTGGGGTCGATGCGAAGGCTGGACCTGTTGCGTCGTCGAGGGCGGGTGCTGGGCCTGCGTTGCTTGCGAAGAAGTCGATGGGCGTGTTGCCTAAGAAGGCAGCGGAAGCTGGCGCGAAGGCGGCGGCTGAAGCGGGTTTGAAGGCAGGGGAGGGCGAGTCAGAGGCGAAGGCAGCAGAAGGCGGCGATGCGAAGAGCGTGTCTGGGGTCGATGCGAAGGCTGGACCTGTTGCGTCGTCGAAGGCGGGTGCTGGGCCTGCGTTGCTTGCGAAGAAGTCGGTGGGCGTGTTGCCTAAGAAGGCAGCGGAACCTGGCGCGAAGGCGGCGGCTGGAGCGGGTTTGAAGGCAGGGGAGGGCGAGTCAGAGGCGAAGGCAGCAGAAGGCGGCGATGCGAAGAGCGTGTCTGGGGTCGATGCGAAGGCTGGACCTGTTGCGTCGTCGAAGGCGGGTGCTGGGCCTGCGTTGCTTGCGAAGAAGTCGATGGGCGTGTTGCCTAAGAAGGCAGCGGAAGCTGGCGCGAAGGCGGCGGCTGAAGCGGGTTTGAAGGCAGGGGAGGGCGAGTCAGAGGCGAAGGCAGCAGAAGGCGCCGATGCGAAGGCTGGACCTGTTGCATCGTCGATGGCGGGTGCTGGGCCTGCGTTGCTTGCGAAGAAGTCGATGGGCGTGTTGCCTAAGAAGGCAGCGGAACCTGGCGCGAAGGCGGCGGCTGAAGCGGGTTTGAAGGCAGGGGAGGGCGAGTCAGAGGCGAAGGCAGCAGAAGGCGGCGATGCGAAGAGCGTGTCTGGAGTCGATGCGAAGGCTGGACCTGGTGCGTCGTCGAAGGCGGGTGCTGG